AGGTTTTTTTAAAAAAGGTTTTTTTAAAAACAATATCTTTTACTATAAAAGTTACTTTTATCAAAAATGGACATACACATGTGTGTACATGCACAGACCCATCCCCATACACATCTGTGTGCGCACATGCATACATACACGCACACACATGCATACACATATGCATGCACATACACACACATACGCATGCACATACAAACATGTCTCGTGTCCAAAGAACGATTTTTTTAAAAACATTTGTAGCTCCACAAATAATGTCTCAAAGCACCTATACGTCGGCTACAGAACGCAATTGTAGAGATTAAGCTCCAGATTGTTCTTAGAGTTATGGTTGGTATACCCATGATGATGTTTTTTGATCTGTATCCTAATGCAGGAAAAAAATAGCCTGTCATGATGGTACCCTTTCCTACAGAATTGTATGTATTTCAATTTCCTCATTCAACCCATTCGGTGTTAGGGTATTGAGTTTATAGATCCAGAACGTTTCCCTTCTACATAATGAATGGAAACGTTCTGATGGTGAGAGGTGTGTGGAAATATGTTCTAAGGTATATGACCATACCTCAGTGGAGCGCTTTCCATGCTTTTTTTGTTTTAAACTTTCCTGATTTCCCGTGGACTTGAGAGCTCTATACATGCATGGTCTTCTATAGGATGTCTTTACTGTATGTTTGTTAAATGTTTATTGTCTTTACAAGTGAACCTCTGTACTACTCTTGATAAATGTTGAAAAAATGTATTTAAAAAAAATGAAAAAACATATTTTCAGGTAAATCCAAACCCCCCACTGACTGATAAAATGCAATATATAACATTTTTGTTTTTGGATTCATAATTAACAGGGAATCAATTCCTTCAACATTATATGTATCTCTGAAGATCACCCTCTTTTAGGAAATAACACAGTGTGGTATTAGTCCGTGGTGTGTTAGTTTAATTTCGTTTTAACAGCAAACTCTGTCTGTTTTTTTCGGTTAGGAATGGCAAAGCTCAATCAATATTAGGCCATACTGAACATGAAACAATATACAGTGTACTTCAACTGATACAGTGATTTCCACAAATAAACAACTGAACATGATTTCTTTCCGCTGCTCTGAAGATACATCTGGGATTTCCCTGTGCGGTTCTATTTTCCAACTGACTTGCTCCAGACTTTCATAATGTGATCTGAACGGGGGGTGGGAGGACAGGCTTCTGTGCACCTATGTGGGGTGAACCATGGGCTGAGCATACATTTCACTTCCAGGCAGCACACTGCTTGGATAGGCTTTACACTTGATAGTTTTATGAGTGTGATGTTAGACACATGAAATTTGGGTTCTCTTTCTATGGGTTCATGGTGGAGCTAGCGAGTTGAAAATTCACGGTCCAAATGAAATATTGTGAGAATTCACAGACCAAATTTTTTGTAACCATAACTCACTGCCTGACTGTGGTCAGCAAGGTTACAATGGCCAATAAAAGGGGCTTTGTTATGTGCCAGCCATTTGAATATAAAAGGATGGATTACTAAAAGTCATTTGTCAGTGTGTGTTGGAGCAGGTTAGCGAGAAATGACAGTCTGAGTAGGGAGAGTTAGTTGCTATACAGTGCTATATGGCGCTACATTACTGTGGATTGCAGTGTGGTGGTCTACATATTTTTGTGTACCCTGCCCTGTGTTCACAGTTCAGACATCCAACAGTTCTTCTTTTTAGATGTGTGCCAGCAACCACTGTAATTGCTGTTTAGCTGCTGTCCCCCCGCCACCGCCCCTCTCAGTCTTTTTATGTTTGTTTTATTGGAGTTTGTTGCATTTTCTTTTCTTTTATGTTTATCCAAATGTTTTTATTTTCAGCTAGATTAAAAATAAATTGGGTTAGGGGTCAGTTTTTAAGTGTTTTTTTTTTTTAGTAAGGGGCCTTTTTTTTTTACAACATACACTTGCTGCTGGCACAGGCAAAGCTGACCTTTGTTTGTAGCATGTCACTGCATACTTGTTTAGTAAAGTAATTGGGTGTCCAGGCTGGATCATTGGCTGAAGATTGCGTAGTATGCGCTGGAGCTTCTGGATTGCCCTGCAGCCCAGAGGTTTTGTTACAGGCTAGGGGAATCCGCTTCTTCCCTGACTGCGTGGACCGGCTCACTTTCAATAATGAACCAGTATTGGATTACTAATGACTACATAACCCCTGCTGCTGGTGCTACAGACTCAACTTTTGATTGCGCCCCCCCCCCCCCCCCCCGACAACACCAAAGCAAACGAA